CTCGTGGCGCTCCCTTGCTGCGTCGCGCACTCCTACTTTCCCCTACGCCACCGGCAAGCTCACTCCTCTCAGAGCATGTGAGAAACCAGTCGCCTCTCAGTTTCTTACCCAACTTCTTGGGATCCATGGGCAGTGGCAGGCTCATGGTGATGGAGCCGACAGGGACCTTGGCGTGCTCGGAGCTGTAGGGTGCGTGGAGCTGGATGGGCATGCCCTGCGGTGCGAGACGAGAGGTCAGGGAGCGGCTGCCCGCCCCCGTGAGGGGCCCTCACAGCCCCTACCTGGGAAATGGATCCGACGGGTCTCTCCAGCACGGAGGCGTGCTTGGTGGAGGAGATGAGGGGAGGAGGGTTGGAGATGCTTGCTAGTCTCTGCAACCCTGAGCGAGAGCTCTCATGCAGGTTTAGCGGGATGGGGTGTCCTGTGTGGAAAACATGAGCGTTAGCAAGACCAGGGGCAGGGTTGAGTGGCTGGAGCTATCGGGGACAAAAGGGGCAAGGGAGGGAGCCAGGGCTGGGTGCAGTGAACTGGCTGCTGTGAGCCTGCACCAGGATCCAAGTCACACGATTGTTTTGGACAGGACTGGAATAGTTTAAATGACTGCCTCATCCCCTCTGCAGCCTGAGGATGTTCTGTGCCCAAATGTCTGACCTCCAGCTGGAGAGGGACAGTGCAGCAGGGCATAAAAACTGCCTCATTTTGCACCCTGGGCAGTGCAGGGAGCACCCACGCTGTTCTGTGACAACCCACGTCCCTAAACTTGCCCAGGTCAGTGCTAGGGGACCCGCCTGGCCATCCTCGGACCACTGCTTTTACTTGCCTGGTGGGTTATACTGGAACAAGTGGGGCTCTGTCTGGGGAGAGGTTTTTATCACATCCCGGGAGTAAGACAGGACAGGGGGCCAGCACGAGGTGGCTGTCGGCTCCGTGCTCAGCTTCTGAGCCTCTGCGATGGATGAGAAATGCACGGACTTTTCTGCAAGGGAAACAGAAAGCAACCAGCTTGCTCAGCAGCTCCCAAGGGTGAGTGATCTCTGCGGGCACGGGCAGGGCAGCCAGAGACAGCTCCTGGTACGGGAAATGGCTTCAGTTAAGTCCCATCTGGCCAGGAGGTGGGGGCTGAATTCCCCAATCAAACTAAAAATAAAAAGCGTTAGTGTCACTGCCTGGATTTGACAGGATTTATTTTACTCAGTGGGGAGGAAGGATGTCCGTGTTGGTGACTCTCCTGGTGCTCACTGCCAGCTGGGACCTCCATGGACATCCCACCCCACCCAGGAGAGACACTGTTTGACATATAGCTCGGTCACTGGGACGAGCTGAATTCCCCAATCAAACTAAAAATAAAAAGCGTTAGTGTCACTGCCTGGATTTGACAGGATTTATTTTACTCAGTGGGGAGGAAGGATGTCCGTGTTGGTGACTCTCCTGGTGCTCACTGCCAGCTGGGACCTCCATGGACATCCCACCCCACCCAGGAGAGACACTGTTTGACATATAGCTCGGTCACTGGGACGAGTGCACGGTCCAGCTCCTCTCCAAGGCTTGGCCACATGGCAGCTCCTGCCTGTGCCCACAGCTCCACATCAGCCCCCATGGCAGGGCTGGGGGGCAAAAATTCTGATCCTGCCAAACCCTTCACTGAGATTAAAGCCAAGAGGAACCAATGTTGGCACCTCTTCAGCTGCGGGGAACATCCAGCATGCACTTCGCTGGTGACAACAGAGTCTGTGGTGTCCAGCTGGGCACAGGGTGCCTGGGGTCCCCAGGTCACTGCCAGTGACCAGTGTGCCAGCACTCCGGGAGCAAGCTCATCCCCACATCACATCATGATGTGAAAGCTCAGCTGCTCCTAAAGGACAGCTGCTGGCTATAAACCACTTGTAGGCTGAGAGAAGCATCCGGAAATAAAGGCATCAGCTTCTTGGACAACAAGGGAATAATGTGCAGATGTTTGCTGAGCGCCTGGGACGACCATGCTGCACAAGACTTGTCAAAGGCAAATGAAGATCATGACGGGATCTGCAGGACGACTGGATGTCTCTGCGGGGAGCGGGGCAGCTTGCTGGTCCTCTGCGAGGCACCGGGACTGAGGGCAGGAGAGCTTCCTGAAATTACGTGGCTCAGGGCATACTGGATGCCAGGCTGGGTACCGCCCGGCTATGCAAAGGCTGATTGGAGGCAAAAAGTGCTTCATGACGGGGAAACTATGATGGGGATGCCTGAACCCTGCCATGCTCTCTGCAGGGTACTGGTGAAAAGAAGGGCTTCATCTGCACCAGCTCCATCCCACGCTTTGCTGAGCAGACAGATGAGACAGCCTTTTCTGGATGGATTAGAGACAAGTCTGGTAGGATGCTTGTAATCAATAAACACTTAATTTTGCACTGCCCTTCTTCCCCAGGTTCACCTGCATAACATCCACGTTGACCAGAAATAAGAAACTGGGCAGTAAACTACAGCAATCACAAATGAACCCAGCCTTTAACCATCAGTTTTTGACAAAAATAGATGCTTGAATCCTGCTAAGCCTAATAACAGGGCAAGTAGATTATCAGAGGCCCAATTTAACGAGGCTTTGCTGCATTATCATTATTAATGCTCAGTGTACTCAGAAGCTGGGAGATTATTCTTGTCCCCTTCATTGAGAGAAGAAATCCATTATGGGAACACAGAGGTGTCCAGGCACTCACACCTCTGCAGCTCGGCTTGGCCTGACCTGAGCCGCAGCCTCTTCTTTTCTTATGCTGGATCCCAGAGAGGATCCCTTTGCCCTGCCCATTTGGGGGAACCCAGGCACATCCTCCAAACCGACGGAGAGTCCTTGGCACGTCCACACTCCTTGATTTTCTCCCGTTCAGCTCAGCCCCGCTTGGCTCAGCTCCTGTGGGGGCGAACGGCGCTGGGATGTCCCGGCAGAAGATGCTCTCCAACGTCAAGGCACCGTCAGCCAAGGCTACGCGTAGCCTGGATGGCTCTTGGAGAGCCCCGTCCTCCTCCCCCCGCCGCCGGAGCCCCAGCCTGTGAAATGCAGCCAGTTCCTAATTGCCCCCGCATTAGAGGGTGGCTATAACTCAGCCAGCTTTTGATAAAATAGCACTTACGCGGAGAAGAGAGAGTTCCTATTACCGTTTATCAAGCCCCTGGAATGGGAGCGAAGGAGTCAGAGTTTATACGATCCGTCATCCAAATTAATGCTCTTGGCTCCCCATTGCCTACAAAGGCCAAATGAAACACAACTAAATCAACGCAAAACATACCGCTGGCTTTCAAACCGCCAAGCGATAACCAAAGATATGCCCGACGGTGATTCGGTGATGGGGAAAGGGATCCGTCTGCTCGTCGGCGAGATCCAGGCAGGGCTGCCTGCCTCTGCTTCTGCCCAGCCTAGTGATTAGCAGCTCATCGTGGAAGGCAGGGGAGGGAAGGGCACCGCTCGGGAAGGTACGGCCCCGCTGGCCGCCCTCCAAGCCTCCAGCGGCTGCGAGGCAGCCAACGCCTCGGCCAGGATGTGTGCAAGACTTGGCTTTGAAGTGGATCCAGAGCGGTGTGAAGGATGTTGATCTCTGGAGCGGCTGCAGGAGTTCAAGCTCTCTTATGGAGCAGGGGAGAAATGGAAGTACCTGCTCTGGTGGAGCTGGCCCCTTGCGCGGGGCTGCTCTCCCAATGGCCGTGCTGGATGCTCCCGTTTAACACAGGGCTCGCGCAGAGGCAGTCTGGCAGTATTATATCCGCAGTCTGGAGGCTTGCCACTTCACTGGGACGCCTCGGAGAGCAGGGGAAAGGAGGGATGTACACAGATTTGCCAGGACTATCTGGCTATCTCCCTTCTAACCCCTGATCCACAGCTGGGATATGCTCCAAGGGGCAGAGACAGCATTGGGCCGCCACCTGAGTCCATAACTATACTGAAATCAGTGCTCTGGTGACTTGATTTCTCCCCTCGAAGTGCCTCATCACAAACCTGATAGCTTTCAAAGGCAAGACACATTCCCATCATGAACAGAGAAGACCAGTCTATGATTCCCTGAGGTCTACGTGCAACCCAGACCTGCTGTGCATGTGCACTGGGTTTGGACGTCACAGAGCTGGAGCCCAAGACCTGCTGAGATGTTTGCAGAGCTACATGGAAGTGCAATTAGTTTCATTAACAAGGAAGAGTCATAGAACCACAGGATCATTAGAATCATTAAGGTTGGAAAAGACCTCGAAGATCATCAAGTACAACCACAGAGCACTACAAAGGCATGAGAGGAGACAATAAAGTATTTCATACCATTAGTGCTTCGCAGAGACAGAAGCCATAAAAGTCCACCTGGGTATCAGACTCTTGCATTTAATAATGGTACCAACAGGTCACAGTACCTCGTGGTTAATCTCCAACCTCTAAAAACCTCACACGCGCAAATCTGCCTCATCTCCTCATCCTCCTGCAGCCAGAAGGAAGCTGGAGCTGCAGCACTGGTGGTGCAGAGCTCAAGGTTCAAGTGCTGGTCGTGCCACCCAGCTCACCGGGAAGCTGGCTGTGCAAGACCTGATCTGCACGGGATTATGGCGCGGTAGGAGATCAACCCTGACTACCTGCTGCTGCGGGGGAAGAGCTGGAGGGGAACTGTTCCGCCTGGGCAGCAAACACGAGCACAGCAGGATGAGATCAGCTGGGGATGGGGCTTCATGGGTGGCAACACCACGACTCGGGGCGGGGGAACTCCCTCTCTTTCAAGGTGAGCAGTCACCTTCCTTGCTTATATGCAAAACATTCTGGAGGTGTGATGCACACACGGCACTATTTATTGTTTAAAGAAGATTTGGCCAAGTGCCAGCAACCATCTCTTCCTGCAAACACATCTTTCTGCCCGGAGGAACGTGACAGCTTGAAGAATAAATACCTGGGCCTGGACACTGCAGAGCAGGCTGCTAAGATCCTGGCTGCCGGAGGGTGAACTAGTGCAGTGATTTTCCAGCAAAGATGATAGCCCAGGTCCAGTGCAGATCTGCCTCATCGGTGTAGTTTTATCCACCTCCCATCTCCATGCATAAGCAGGTAATTTTTGCAGCTGCACCCACCCCCATGCAGGGGACATCACACCCACCCAGCCTGACTTCCCTGCTCCTGTGATTGTGCCACTGCTGACAGCGTCTCATCTTCACACACAACTGAACCGCAGGCTGGCTACGAGAGGCAGGGACACGGACCCTGAACTGGAACAGACTCTGACACCCAGATTAAAAACACACTTAGAGGTTAGTCTCATCAGGACTTCGCGTCTCTCCTTAACCCTGATCCCCAGCTGCTCAAGCTAATAACGCTTCAGATGCTCTACAGTGGGAAACTCTGAATTGCTCATTAGGCAGCCAAACCACATCAGAGCTATTCCGGGGAGAAAGCACTGGGAATCTTTACAGGAACCTTTGGACTCCGAGTCACAGTATTAGCATTGATTTTAAATGAAATAATGGTCCCCGCTGAGCATTAAAAGCATTCTTTATAGAAAGCCAGCAAGGTAGAAAAGAGCCATTGTACCCGGAGCCCTGGCATGCCTCCAGGCCCCTTTGCTCTCAAGTGAATGGCAGAGATGCTAATAAAGGCAATCCTCACCTCCTCAGCGCTCAACACTGGCCCCGTGTTTGCTGTAGGCTCAATGAGACATGATGTACTGTCTAATGAACATGGGAAATCAGCCATGCCTCTCCCGTCCTGCTTCAAGATGCTATTAAAGAGCTTTCAAGGGTTGAAGCAAGCTTTCACCTAAGAGGAGGAAAGCTGACGGCTGCATACAGCTGCACACACCGGGCATTTCTGTGCAGATAACACGCTCCGATGCACGCACGATCCCTACCTTCCTTGTCGCCAACAGCGGGGCTCCTGCTCTTTCCCCTGGGACTGCTGCTTGGCTGCTGCTGCTCCTTCTCAGCCTGCTGCTGGGACTGCGAGAGCTTGCTTGGGGCCATGTCCTCGCGGGCAGACTCATGGGCTTTTGTGATCTGCTGCTGGTAGAGGGCCAAGGCATGGGGAGGCACCTGAGGCTTCACACTTCCACTCTGCAATATCCCCTCCGAGAAACCTTCCGAAATCTGCAAAGCAACAGGAATCAGTGACACTCGCCATGCGCTGTTGACATTCGTAACGGTCTTGGAGACATTAAGGTGTTAGGAGAAGCACCCGCCCCACACTATCACTATGAGTCTTACCAGCCCAAACAGCTCACCAGCCACAGGAGATTAAAAAAGCCCACAACAAGAAGTATCAGCTCGGTGCTGGTGACCCTACAGGAGAGCCTCAGACTTTTCCTGTTTAAAATCTCTAATCAATAGTTAAGTGCTTGTGGCTTTTGTCAGAAGTTACATTACGGCAGCCACATTTTCAGCGGCAACACAGGAAACTGGAAGAGCATCAGAAATGGGTCCTCCCCGAGTACTCCAAACCCCAAATCAGGGCTTTTCTCCCTGCCTACCCTGCACTGCTGCTCCTCTGGTGTTGACCCTGGAGACATCAGGGTTCTTTTTGTCACAGCCCAGGCCACTGCACTAGGAGGAACCATCAGCCTCTGAGAACACATACTTTAAATACAAGGTTACTAGGTAGCCAAAAAGGGGGACGAAGCAGAGCTTCTAGATGAGGAAGAGCATAAATGCTTCCTTGGTGGTATCCTTCAAGCACATGAGAAGAAGAGACGCACTGGGCTGGGAAGGTGCACGCTTGCTTTTTAAAGCAATGGGAGGCAGCAGTCATGTGGCAATGAGAAGCTTTTTCTGTCCAGACCTCCCACGACTTTCTGATCAAAGAGCTCAAGGGACATCCAAACACTGCTGGCAGAGCTGCTCCAGCAGCTGGGACCGCGCTCTGCACGGAGAGCACCTTGCCTGCCAGCGAGCTCACACTGCCCAGGCACAGCTCTCCGCAGACCACGAGCTCAGCACATCCCTGCAGCCCTGACGCAGCCCGATGGAAGGGGATGCACGAGGCACACGCGGCCACTGTGCCCCCAGTCTGGTGGGGTACTCACGATGGGAGGGATGGCAGCAGCACGCTGCTTCAGCTGCTTCAGGTCCAGTGGCTTCTGCGGCGAGGGGTTCAACCTGGCCTCGCTGGCGGCGTTGAGCAGGCGGGGCCGGGGGGACAGCAACCTGGACACAAGACATGCGCGTCAATCGGGTGATGCCACGGACAAGCTCCACATCCCATCGCTCCCCTGCGCCCTGCACTCCTCTGCTTTATGCTGCCAAGCCTAGAGGACGTCCTTGTCATCAGAGAAAAGTGTGCTGGACCGCTGCTTGCTGCTGAGAATCCAGGCTCTGGAACACATCGTGCACCTGGGCTCCCAGCCCTGCAAGCTGCTGCCCTGGCCTCAAACCTGGACTGATATGTCAGACTCAACAGGCTCTCAAGCCTTCCTTTCCTCATCCCCTACGTTAACTATTTCTAGCAAATCTACTGCTGTCCAGAATAAACACAAGGGAGAACTGGAACCTGAAGTTACAGAGCAGGGTGACCAGTTCGGATTTCATTCGGGCACCACGCTACTCTCCGGAGCTCACACGTGGTGCTCGCCCGGCACTCGGGATTGACCTCGTGCTCCTCTTCAAGGACTGTCTGTTATTCAGGTGCTGAAGCCTGGGCAAACCACCACGTGCATGCAGCCGCGGTGCTTGGATCACTTGAAAGACGAGAGGCTGGATTTGGCTGGGATTTGGTGTTCAGCCCAGCGGCTGTGCAGCCCTGTGCCCTCTCCATTTGCTTTTCCCCTTGGCTGTTTGAGTTGTGTGGAAGACACTCAGACGGCTGCAAACGGTGAGAGGTGGGCATCTCCATGGTGCCACTGAACCGGGACGGGAATGGAGGTGTGCGAAGCCTCGGGGTGTCCAGCTCCTGAGCTCGTATCGAGACCCCGGGGATCATGCCTCTCCAGGCCATCTCTGCTTTCTCGTCCGCTTGACTCCAATTTGAAGGCAGTTCATGGCTTTCAAGCTTTACAGCTTGATTTGTTTATTTTAGCTGTTATTCCACTGCTCTCTTCAGCCTATAAATTTCAAGGTCATCCCATGTTCACCCTTGGATGAATAAACAAGCGTGACGGGGCCATGCGTGGGGAATAAACTCATCGTGGTGCTGGGACTGTCCCAGCCCTTGCTCTGCTCAGTGCCTGGCACTGGAGGGGAGGGGGACCTACCTCCGGATTGGGACCAGCGTGCTTTTGTTAAGAACCCAGAGGTGAGCAGGAGAAGGGTGACAAATCTGAGCTGCTCCTCAAATAATTGCAATGCTGCCTGCCTGTGGAGCCACATGGGTGTTTTGAAGTATTTGAGAGCCTCCCTGCTTGGGGAGCCACATGGGTGTTTTGAAGCCATGCTCTGGGGGACATGGGGCTCCTGGAAGGGTGCAACACCCCAAAAGCTGCTGAGACACATGGCTGGGGACAAGGGCACTTGCTCCTGAGCCCTTCATGTTGCGCTGAGCTGTGGCACTGCTCTTCTGGGGCTGCCGAGTTAAGGCTGCGCCTAATTATCCTGGACTCGTCTCTGCTAGCGTGAACTGCAGGAGGACCCAAAAAAGGCTGCTCCTACATCTCACGCCAACCCTGCAGCCTTCCCCTCTCACCATGGGGACACCCCAGCCGCCCTCTGTCCCCTTCTGGGAGATGCCAGGGACAGCTTGAACGCTTTTACAAGCGCAGGGAAGAGCACCCAC